CTTTTGGAATGCAATGAAAAGTAAAAGACAATGAATATATATCAGAAATTAATAATCATCTCTAGGAATGCATTTATTGTCTTAATAGCAGATTTTGATAGGGACTTGTTCCTCTTGGTGGGACAGCCAGACAGCCATTGCAAAGAGCAGCAGGGTATACCAGGATCCATTGTCTGCAGGGGCAAACAATAGGTCAGAAAATTTGCTAGCAGCTTGAGGCAGAGCTGTTTTGTGGATGTGTCAGCGTCCTGGTGGATGTTAATTTGATTGCAGATTTTAGGTTCTCTGTAGAGGTGAAGTCGCGGTAGCTTCAGCTCTGTCTGCTGGGAGGGGCCATTGGTTGTTTCCACTTGGAGCTCTCTGGGAGCTTAGACATACATTGTGTGCATGGATATTGAGATTTGAGGGATTGAATACACATTCCCTGTGGCACACCTGACGGTTGCCTCATGGTTGAATTCCACGGCTTTGGCTCAGTAGTGGGAGTTCCTGGGAACTCGGCATATCTTGTGACACTGCTGGGCATTGGATTGTGCCAGCATGGTGACCTGGTGGAGCTTGAGGGGCTGGGAGGGGAAAAGTACCCTCTACAGTTGGGGTGTCGCTGGGAGTTGGGCAGGTGAGGCAGGGGAGTTGAATAGTGGAGGTATAGGTAGTTTGGTTGGGGAAAGCCTGGGCTTGAGGGGTTATGGGAGGGCAGGAGGGTCACTGTACACTACACACTGGGCAAGCCTGCGGAGGGAGGTGAGGGGCAGTCACTGTATACTACACATGGATTGCACATTGTTGTTCACAATGTCTTCCTTACAGTAAACACAACATTTGTTTGTTTCCCATGCACATCATGAAAGATGTGGGTATGCCTGCTTAAGACCAGTGTGTTCCCTCATCTTCACCTACATCTTTGCCTTCTCTCGTGGTGTTGGGGAGGAGGCATTGACTAGTCCCGACGTCGTTACTCAAAACACGTGCTTCCCACACCATATGCCTCTAATTATTCCATGCATTGACAGATAGTCATTTTTAAGTTAACTGAAAGCATGGTGCCTGTGCTAGAGGTAATGTGTTTATGGAGGCCTTTCGAGGTTTGTATATACGTGGCTGGCACCCATGCATAGTGGGTCTGTGGCCATTTTCCCACACCAACTCATCAGCCTTCACAAACTGATCAACACTTACACTATTTATGTTGAAACAATGTCTTCTCACTACATTGGAAGCTTCCCGTAGTATTCACACTGAGTCCTGTTGAGTCTTAACCTGGTCAGCCTCTTTGATCAGGAGTTATCCTTGAAAATCCCACAGCTAGCCTGCCACACGACCTGCCACACTGGCTAATTTTGATGGCATTGGCAAAATTTTGGGTAATGTCCCATCCCTAATCAGTATGTGATCTGATTAATGCTAATGTCTAATTTATGCAGTTTGAGGGCGTGTATAGACAGTACTTGGTCCAAAATATAACTTTATTGCTAAGACTTTCAGACAATATACAGTATCACTCTTCAATTTAGATGTGTGCTCCAATTTATACGAGGTGAAGGGTATTGTTTCTTATCCTGAATTTCTCCATCAAGAGTAAAAAACAATGCTGGCAGTTATGATGCAAATGTGACTGTTGACAAACACTATTATGCAATTTTAACTTAAATAATTTAGGAATGTTGTGTTGACTTCCAGTTAAATATTCCACATCACCCTTCTGTTGCTTATCCTATAACCAAGTTTTTTGACATATAGAGGTATGAGGTATAAGGTTGTCTGTAATAATTTCATAATGCATCGGCAATTGATTGTCGAGTGTAATCTTACAGTAAACAGTAGCATTAGTGAGAGGGTAAGCATAATCATTGTGACAAGAATTTAAGAAACCTTATTGTCAGGTCTATAATAAAAGGAATTTATAATTAAAATTTATAAAATCTACAAATTCTAAAAACAAAATAAATTTATAAATTAGACACATGTGCAACTCTTGGGTATCTTTGAGGAAACGTTTCGCCACACAGTGGCTTCATCAGTCCATACAAAGGAGAATCTTGAAGAACAGGAGGAGAATGAGGTAATCAGTCCCTCAACCTTGAGTCGATGTGGTCAGTCCATCAATCTTGCTATTCTATTCAAGATTGATGGACTGACCACATCGACTCAAGGTTGAGGGACTGATTACCTCATTCTCCTCCTGTTCTTCAAGATTCTCCTTTGTATGGACTGATGAAGCCACTGTGTGGCGAAACGTTTCCTCAATAAAGATACCCAAGAGTTGCACATGTGTCTAATTTATCAACATGTCGGTTCTCTGAACCATTCATCTACAAAAATAAATTTAAATAAGTGAATGTGATCCCTGGCTTAAGTAGAAACATTGGGCATATTTCCTTACACCTGTTGCCCCTGTTCACCTGGCAGTAAGAATGTACTTGGAGTTTAGTTTATTTTTGTGGGTTGCATCCTGGGGGATGATAGTATACCTTAGGAAGGCTGGGCTTTAAAATAAACTGAGGTAGGATAACAGCTCTTTGCTTATGAAATTTTGTGTAAAAAAAATATATTAAATACAAAATTATCATATAAAGAACAGTTTGCAGGAGGTCTTGTGTGTGATAATACTCAGCTTATGATGATTAGTATTGTAAAGAGATATTTATTACCAAAGCTCCTTGTCTGAAGGATGACTAGCTAGCCAGGACCTTGAATGTCATGTACCCCAGAGTAGTCTTGCGCATGCTTTAAACTATCAAAATTAATGGTTTATCTAACATTTCTCCTGTTCTGGATGTTTTACCCAGGTGTTCAGCAGTTAGAACCCTGACCTGTGGTCTTCCCAGTATATTGAGACTTGCCTCTCATACTCGAATGTGGCTTTACTATAGATGGTAGACAGTCTGGGATCAAATCTTTTGCAGTGCATAGTAGTCTTTTGCAGAGAACACTGGACAAAATTATTGAAGTAACTTGTTTATCTTATAACCATTAGAGTACTAATGAGTGAAGGAGCTATACAATAGGGCCCCACTTATTTGGCAGGTTAGGTTCAAGGCTACTGCCGAAAAGCAGACATCGCCGGAAAGCAGAACTCTATTTTTTCCATTTATAAATGCTAGATAACACATTTAAAGTAACATATATTAAGTTAGCAATAGAACTAGGCATTAAAAAGAAAAATACACACACAGTACACTCATTATTTACCTCAAAATATTTGTAGTCTTAATGTAGGGCAAAAGGTGAGTAGTATTTAGGGGTGGGGTGGCCCTCCTGAACACCCTACCCACACATAATATACTACAATGCTTAAAGCTCCCTAGAGCGATAAAATGCATATACAGTAGACGCATTACTTACCTTAAAATATTTGTAGTCTTAATGGTCTTAATGTAGGGTAAGAGGTGAAAAGTATTTATTTGTAGACAGTTGTGTGGGAGGTATGGCATCCTGCCTGGCCACTTATACCTTCAATTACATTAAGGGAGATGTGGGGAATTTCGGTCAATTTTTTTTTTAACCGATTTCTTTTATTTTTGGTGTACGTTTAGAAGATAAAATGGAATAAACCTTGTCAGAAGATAAAATGCATATATAGTACACTGGTTAATTATCCTAAAATATCTGTGGTCTTAATGTAGGGTGAGATGTGAGTTTTATTTGTATGAAGTCAGGTTGGGAAGTATGGGAAGCCAGGAAGGGCAGCCTTCCTCACCCCACCCAAACATAATGTAAACAAACCAGATGAATGCGTCTGGTTTTCGTCACAAGTCCTACAAGTCACCTGGCTACCACATCTCATATTTGTTAATTTATTATACTGTGGGGTGTATTTAGACGGATTAAGCAAAATGTCTATATTAACATTTTATACGATATTTAATGCTCCTTAGAGTGATTGTTATTGTGTTGTTATTATCATCATTATTAATATGGCATCTTCAAGACTAATAAGACACTCTTAGTGATTTTAATGTGTACTTGCATGCCAGCAGAGTGTGTAAGTTTACTTAGGTACAGGTACACATACGTATAATTATCAGTATAATAATAATGTAGGTATGTAGTCTGCCTGGGCTACATACATACACGATATTTAATGTGGCCCAGAGCCATATTATTATCATCGACATACCATGTTGACTGAGTTTAATCGTTTCTAACAACTACCTTTAGATGCCGTCATAAACAAAGGGAGAAGTAATTAATAATTCATGCCGAGAATTGTAAACAAAAGCGTTATGTATTAAGGGGAGTGATGTAATGTTTTCCCTCCGCCTGGCTACCACACCTCCATAGTATATAAACAAAATGTTTATATGTTATGTAACGTGTTTCATATATAATTTTGAAGAAAATATAATAGATGGATTAATGAAAATGTCTATATTAACGTAAAATAAGACATTTAATGTGCCCAAGAGTGATTATTATTAGTATTACGTAATGTTTTCCCTCCACCTGGCAACCACACCTCCATAGCACATAAACAGCATGCTTATATGCTATGTAACGTGTTTCTTATATAATTTTGAAGAAAATATCATACATGGATTAATGAAAATGTCTATATTGACGTAAAATTAGACATTTAATGTGCCCAAGAGTGATTATTATTACATAATAAAGAGATGTGCTCATGGAGAATGTAAACAAACTGGGTGGCGCATGCCGTACTGGGTGGCGCATGCCGTATTTGAAAGACCACTTGCCGTATAGAAAGTTTCGGTCATAATTTGAGATCGCTGTATTAGCGGAACGCTGTAAGGCGAAACGTCGAAAAGCGGGGCCCTATTGTATACATGCTTTTTCTGCCGTAACAGTAGGATCTTCAGCTGCTTAAAGTATACAGTGAAATGTGGTGGATGATTGAACAAGACCACCAGATAATTGTAATGCTGAATATTGTATGATTTGTTATTACAGGATATAGAAGGATGTAACCATGAATCAGCTTTTAAAACAGTTTGAGTAAATCCCTCTAACATGGAATTTTGCTCTCTCCTTGTCTCCAGCGAGCCTCACTCTAGGTTCTATGCTGCCCAGATTGTACTAGCATTTGAATACCTCCACTACCTTGATCTCATATATAGAGATCTCAAACCAGAGAATCTACTTATAGACAGTCAAGGGTACCTCAAGGTCAGTCTACTCACTTTATTCAGTTTTAATTTCATGTTCTAAAATAATTCCAGAAGCTATAGAATAACTTTTGGTGTTAAAATGGTGATTGTGTATATTAACTATTTACTACAGGTGCTGCTAATTTTACTACTATATATGCTGCAGCTACTGATTATTATATATGCTTCAGTAGGTTGGAAGTTTTATTCATAAAACCTAAAGATTTTTTTTTTTTGTATATGGTACTGTATTAAAAATGAAACTCATGAATCTGCATCTATTACTGTTCATATGAATCACAAGTTATTCTTTTCTGGGACTATGAAATGTGTGTTCTTTCAAAATTATGTAATGATTTTCTAAAGTGCTCTAAAGGGGGCAAATAGTCTTAATATGACATAGTCGTAATGCCCCAGCACAATTGTGTTATAGGTGACAGACTTCGGGTTTGCCAAGCGAGTGAAAGGACGAACGTGGACACTTTGTGGAACCCCAGAGTACCTGGCCCCAGAGATCATTCTTTCTAAGGTACTGTAGCATTTTCTTTTCCTTTATGCACTGTCTTGCTATACAGAACATGAGCTTAATATAACTCAAAGGATATATTGGGCCTTATTTCACCGATGATTTGAATTGTTAGGGAATACAAATTAACTGTAGATTAAATAATGGTTGCAATTGGAAATTTTCTATTACCTTGTAAAAATTGCAATGCCTTTACTTAATTAGAGGTGACTTTAATTTACCTTCAACAGGGCTACAACAAGGCAGTAGACTGGTGGGCATTAGGTGTTCTGGTCTATGAAATGGCTGCAGGCTACCCTCCATTCTTTGCTGACCAGCCCATCCAAATATATGAAAAAATAGTTTCTGGAAAGGTACTGTAATGTTGTCGGTGACTGAAGTGATTTTCTTGTTATATGCTGCTGTCACTTCAGTTCTCTATAGTAGGGAATTTCAATTTCAATTAAATTCAGATTGAATTACAGATTTTAAAGTTATTCTGAAGTATGTTGTACTGCTGTGGAATATATTGATGTATAGAAGTTCTTTTGAAAATAGCGTTTGTTTAAAACTTGGATAATTAAAGCTTGCTTCTACAGTATATAGTTAGGTATAGCACTGTCATTCATACCATTGATTTTTATTAACATATCCTATAATGTGTACAGTAGCTTAAGACTGTATCAAATTATAGTATCACACACTTTAAGATTTGTTTTGTCTTCGGGCAGTTCACAAATTGGTTTCCTTGGCTCTCAGCCTGGTCGTATACCAGGTCTCCTGGGTGATGGCCTGGTCAGTCAGGGTGTTAGAGCTTGTGACATGTAATCTGACATAAACACAACAGCTTGGCTGATTAGGAATAGTTTGGAACAAATCTTGTGTGTTTTCCATGTGTAAAGCTTTCCATATCTTAAGCTTTGTTTCAGCAAATACAATTGAAGGGATTTCGAGCATTCCAATAACTTTGGTGTTTAAATTGATGCAGGTAGTAAACATTCCCTGTACAGTCTGAAATTTTTGCCTGCCTTAAATGGAGTTTGTAACATACAAGAATATTAGTCTAGATCAGTGCTTCTCAGAGTGGTTGTCAGTGGACCATTGCCAGTCATTGATGTCACTGGTCTGCAACAAGCTACCAGGAAAGAACGAAAGGAATATTTCAGAAGCATAACATTGATAATGCACTTTTTCAAATTATGATACCCAAGTTAAATTGATTTTTTTATCGGTTATGAAAAGAAGTTAACGAGTTTGACTTGATGTATACAAGAAATTTAATATTTTAGTCTTTTCATATAGATGTTAGATTTCACTTACTTCATTGGGTTATCTTTAATATAAAATATATTGTTGAGAAAAAACTCAAGTTTCAACAGTGTAAACTGAAATAAAAGTTATATAAAGTCTGTTTGTCAAATGATAAGATACTTAAGCATTTTAAATGTTTGTGCAGAGGTGAATGACATTTTTGTGTGCATTTCACACAAGCTGAAGACTAACATAAGATTAATGAGGCAATGACAGATTTAGTGGTTTATTTATACAGTCTCTTAGGTGGTTGTAGATATAAATTTAGGAGTTACAATGAATACAAGAGAATTGAATATTCTATTAGTACATGCTATATGGCTTTTGTCAAGTTTAAATGTTTAAAGAATTATAGTCAGTGTGACCAACTGAATTTTTCATTTAATATCTTGGTAAAATAACGAAATTTAAAAAATAAAAGGGATAAGAAATTTTGATATGCTGTATAACTTGGCAGCAATCACTGCTAATGCAGGTGAAGATCTTAATCTGACATCTGTATGAAACATCATTAGTAAACACTTCATGAATTTAGTTGAGCATTTTGAGTTTTACTTTCTTGGTGATGCAGGTAAGCTCTTAATCTGACATCTCTGTGAAACATCAGTAGTAAACACTTGATGAATTTAATTGAGCATGTTGAGTTTTACTTTTTGGCAACAATGAGCCATAGAAAATATCAAGATGGATTTGAAATCCATTTATTGCATGAAAGGAGGATCTAACTGTTACTGAAGGACAAATTGCTGCAGGTGGCCAAGGATGAAGGATTGAAGATAAGTTAGACACATGAGCAACACTTGGGTATCTTTGGGTATCTTGGGTATTACCTGGAGTTTACCTGGAGAGAGTTTCGGGGGTCAACGCCCCCGCGGCCCGGTCTGTGACCAGGCCTCCTGGTGGATCAGCGCCTGATCAACCAGGCTGTTGCTGCTGGCTGCACGCAAACCAACGTACGAGCCACAGCCCGGCTGATCAGGAACTGACTTTAGGTGCTTGTCCAGTGCCAGCTTGAAGACTGCCAGGGGTCTGTTGGTAATACCCAAGCATTGCTCATGTGTCTAGTTTATCAACTTGTCAGTTTCTCTGAACCATTTTTCTACAGGATTGAAGATGAATTTCGAAACTATCATCGTCTGCATACTATTGGATCAAAGTGATAGCAGGATAACCTTAACTCTGTGAAATTTCTCAGTTTTCTTATTTCCCCCTCAACATACCTCTGTAAGACTGCTTCCTCCAATCATGAATGTCATTAAATACAGGAACACTGGTTATTCAATCCCGAGTGCCTATGTTGCTATCTTCAATTGAACCATGACTTGATAAATTGACAAATAAAAAAATGGTGGAAGTGCTTCCCATCAGTGGAAAAGTGATAATTCTCCAATTACTGTGCATAATTTATCAATTAAACTTTATAATAGGTATGTATAGGATTTGTATACAGTGGACCCTTGGCCGACGAAAGCATCGTCTAACGATAAATTCGTCCAACGAAGCGTTTGAGCGTAAAAATTTTGGCCCGATCAATGATGAAAAACTCAACCAACATGATTCGTCCCGATCCTGTCCGTCCAGCCTGAGCACCTCAGCTGCCCTGCCATCATTGTTTACAAGCCAGGGTTTTTAGTGCTTGTAACTGCTAAATAAGCCACCATGGGCCCAAAGAAAGCTTCTAGTGCTAACCCTGTGGTAAAAAGGGTGAGAAATACTATTGAAATACAGTGGACCCCCGCATAGCGAACTTAATCCGTGCAAGAGGGCTGGTCGTTATGCGAAATGTTCGCTATGCGAATTAATTTTCCCCATAAGAAATAATGGAAATAAAATTAATCCGTGCAAGACACCCAAAAGTATGAAAAAAAATTTTTTTTACCACAAAAAAATGTTAATTTTAGTACACACAAACTGAAAAAGGCATGCACAATTACATGACACTTACTTTTATTGAAGATCTGGTGATGATTGATGGGATGGGAGGAGGGGAGAGAGAGTGTTAGTTTTAGAAGGGGAATCCCCCTTCCATTAGGACTTGAGGTAGCAAGTCCTTTTCTGGGGTTACTTCCCTTCTTCTTTTAATGCCACTAGGACCAGCTTCAGAGTCACTGGACTTCTTTCGCACAACATATCTGTCCATAGTGTCCTGTACCTCTCGTTCCTTTATGATTTGTCTAAAGTGGTTCACAACAGTGTCATTGTAACAGTCACCAGCACGGCTTGCAATAGCTGTGTGAGGGTGATTTTCATCAAAAAAGGTTTGCACTTCAAGCCATTTTGCACACATTTCCTTAATCTTTGAAGTAGGCAATTCCTTCAATTTTCTCTCCCCTCCTTTGAACCAGTTTCCCCCAGGTCTGGCCTCTTGCTCTTGAAGTTGATCTATCAGCTCATCAGTGGTTAGTTCTTCATTGTCCTCCTCCACCAACTCTTCCACATCCTCCCCACTAACCTCCAACCCCAAGGACTTCCCCAATTCCACAATTGATTCCTCAACTGGTATACTACTCCTCTCAGGGTTAGCCTCAAACCCTTCAAAATCCCTTTTGTCTACACATTCTGGCCACAGTTTCTTCCAAGCAGAGTTCAAGGTTCTCTTAGTCACTCCCTCCCAAGCCTTACCTATAAGGTTTACACAATTGAGGATATTAAAGTGATCCTTCCAAAACTCTTTTAGAGTCAATCGAGTGTCTGTGGTCACTTCAAAGCACTTTTGAAACAGAGCTTTTGTGTACAGTTTCTTGAAGTTGGAAATGACCTGCTGGTCCATGGGCTGCAGGAGAGGAGTGGTATTAGGAGGCAAAAACTTCACCTTAATGAAGCTCATGTCCCCATAAAGTCGCTCTGCCACGTCTGTAGGATGACCAGGGGCATTGTCTAACACCAGGAGGCACTTAAGGTCTAATTTCTTTTCAGTTAGGTAATCTTTCACATTGGGGGCAAATGCATGGTGTAACCAGTTATAGAAAAATTCCCTAGTGACCCATGCCTTACTGTTTGCCCTCCACAGCACACACAAATTATCCTTGAGGACATTCTTTTGCCTGAACGCTCTGGAGTTTCAGAGTGATACACTAATAAAGGCTTAACTTTGCAATCACCACTAGCATTGGCACACATCAACAAAGTAAGCCTGTCTTTCATAGGCTTATGTCCTGGGAGTGCCTTTTCCTCCTGAGTAATGTAGGTCCTGCTTGGCATTTTCTTCCAGAACAGGCCTGTTTCATCACAATTAAACACTTGTTCAGGTTCCAGTCCTTCAGTTTCTATGTACTCCTTGAATTCATGCACATATTTTTCAGCCGCTTTGTGGTCCGAACTGGCAGCCTCACCATGCCGTATCACACTATGGATGCCACTACGCTTCTTAAATCTCTCAAACCAACCTTTGCTGGCCTTAAATTCACTCACATCATCACTAGTTGCAGGCATTTTTTTTAATTAAATCGTCATGCAACTTCCTAGCCTTTTCACATATGATCGCTTGAGAGACGCTATCTCCTGCTAGCTGTTTTTCATTTATCCACACCAATAAGAGTCTCTCAACATCTTCCATCACTTGCGATCTTTGTTTCGAAAACACAGTTAAACCTTTGGCAACAACAGCTTCCTTGATTGCCGTTTTCTTGCCCACAATAGAAGCGATGGTTGATTTTGGTTTCTTGTACAACCTGACCAGGTCGGTGATACGTACTCCACTTTCATACTTATCAATGATCTCTTTCTTCATTTCAATGGTATTCTTACCCTTTGAGGTGTAGGGTTGGCACTAGAAGCTTTCTTGGGGCCCATGGTCACTTATTTTCCACAAACATCACCGAAAACACTGTAATAATACGAAATATTCCGAGTGTATGCTTGAATGTTACCGCGGAGGCTGGCTGGTAAACAATGGGACGGGCGGCACATGTGAGGCTGGCTGAGGGCGCACATTGGACGCGTCTCGGACGAAGGTCGCTGAGCGGGTTTTTGTCCACTATGCGGGGCAAAATTTTAGCGAACAAAGCGTTCGCTATGCGGATTGTTCGCTATGCAAGGCGTTCGCTATGCGGGGGTCCACTGT